TGACAAAAGCTTCCCTTGTTGACCAATCTACGTCTTGACTCGCGCGCTGTGCCGACGATCAGCTGAGCCAGCACAGCGCGATGGCCATTTTCATTTTAATGAAGCCGAGGATGTTTAAATCCCCTCTTCATTGACTATGGCGGGTAGTCTACACATACCCTCTGTGTCATTACTGACAGATATAAAAACATGAAATCCAAAAACCACCAAACTTTTAAATCTGTATACAGATCTGGATGACAGCAAAATCCCTCATCTTAAATGAGTGCTAGAAAAGATCTAGGTTTAATTTCATATTTCAGGCAAATCTCAGTTATTTCACATTCGTGGCTATAATTTGTGATAGAACACTTAGTGTGTCATTCTCTCTCATTCTCACCTTTTTCTTCCTCAAATGCCTCTGTGAGGTATCTGTTCTCCTCCTGTATGCGTTCTTCTAAGCTCCTCTTCCCCAGGCCAAAGTTTCTTAGAGTTGATAAAGCAAATCTTCTTTGTTGTTTCCAGTTATGTCCATTGGAGAGTACTAATCCTGGGGTGAAAAAATGACAACTAGTGTATTGTAATGGTCATTACCTTAATTCTCTCCCTTTTCAAGTTTAATTGAGGCCTGGTTATTTTTCCACAAGATATTCTCTTCTGTTCTGTTCTCTTCTGTTCTGTTCCCCATGCTCATCATTAGTATATTAGAGTGCCTGGGCTCTCTAAAAGTGGGGTCATGTCCGACATGCAGAAGCTACACTTTTACAGAAAGAGTATAGAGCTGAGGTTGAAGAAAGTAGGCTGCAATGCCAACGACAAATGAGTTTGGAGATGTAATTTTGAGAGATTTCAGAAGTCTAATCGTTCCAGTGCTGACTCTTGGTGAAGGAAAACTTTCAAGGGACCACGCAGGATGGAAGTTCATACTATATACCACCATCTGCTGTTGCTGCCACCATGGCTATGGCAGTTGGGATGTGAACATGAGAGGTCAAAGAGACATGAGAACCTGTGTAATATTTGCAAAATCGAGCCAAGTTATTAAGGCCCAGATTTGCAAAATTATTTAGGTGTCTAAATCCAATCGATTTCTCTAGTTGTCTGGCAGTGGAATGGGGTGTATCAATCCTGCACTGGTATAGCAGGGGTTAACCTTTCTCTCTTGACTAAGGAGGCCACACCCCCTCGGCTCCACTGGGCATGCTCCAGCTAGAGAGAGGATATAAAAGGCAGCAGAACAGCTCAGTCTGGGCTGATGAGGAAGGAGGTGTCCTCTTGACTCCTGTGGGAGAACTGCCCTCAGTGCAGGATGTGGAGCCTAGACAGCCGGAGATGGACCCCTACACACAGACTTGAGATGCCACAGAGAAGGGAGTTACTGTGGAGACCCAGAAATAATGAACTGCAAAGAGTCAGGTAGAAGGTAATGAGGGAAACTTGGTGATGATGAACTAGAGACAATCTCAGTGAGGTTTGGTAGGAAACCTGCCTTGGGTTCAGAATCTGGTGGAGAGGGCAGGCATGATTCCCACCCTGTCACCTCAAAACTTGTGGCCTGACTTACTAACACTATTGACTCCGGTCTCTATGCTGCACTGTCCTGATGGCAGGGGTCGATATGATTGACTCTGGCTGCCCTTATTGCAGGCATCGCATCACTGACTTAGGCAACAGGGCCTTGCAGCCCCGAGACTGGGGGCAACCCTAAAGAGGCAAGTAGAGGCTATAACGCAGCCTAACCCTAACCCCAAAAGAGAGACTGGCATATCAAACATGTGATAGACACTGTAGCACAGACTTCAGTTCATACACATAAAGTGTAACCCATTTGCAGGATCAGGGCCTTCATTTTCAGAAACGGTACGTGAGAAATGTTGGAAATAAAAACTCACCAAATGTCTTGCAGAATTCATGGATAAGAGGCATTTCTGGGCGATCAAGAAAGTCATCGCCCTGATGGACAAGCACTTCCTTCACCAGCTGGAATCCATTTACAATCACAAATTTCAGGTTACCCAACTGCATGCTGAAAATGTTGCCATATTTTTCAGCAAGCTGGAAAATTAGAGCATGTGCATTAACTCATGTGTATTTAGTATGCTACCCGGAACTATAGCCCAGGTGATGACTTCTTACTTTTATTATTGTACTGCTACTCCTACTATTTGGTATTACAATAGCAAGGAAGAGCCTGGCTGTTCAAGCACTGATTCTAAAGCCAGCGCCTGAGAGCTCACAACAGGATAGAACAGGGGAATGATGCATAGAAATGGGCAGGGGAATGAGACAACAGTAAAACATGCATATCTAAGGCTGCCCTGTGCCTTTTCCTAAGAGATGTCAAAATGAAACAGGCCTACTGGTGAATAAAATTATAATAACTAACTAAATACATAATAATAATGTGTCATCTGAAGAAGTGGGCTGTGTCCACAAAAGCTCATGATATTATCTACGTTTTCTCTTAAAGCTGCTAGACTCTTCATTGCTTTTAAGAGGGTTTTTTTTTTATAAATAATTGCTGTTGGCAATTGGCCTCCTCTGTGGTAAGCAGAGCAGACATGTTCCTGACTGGTTGCATTATAGACTGCAGATACTTTGTTTCTGTGTCGTGAAAACACTCAAACATACTGGTTTAAACAAAACACCCTCCAGTTCCATCAGAAGCCAACACCCACCTCAGAATACACTACTTAGCTCCCTGGGGCACTCAGAGGGTGTGGTTGAAAACTGCACAAAACTAATTTCTGACTTCCACAGAGTTTATGTGAAGGGGACTCATTCTAGTCCTTGAAAGGAGATAACACTCACAAATAATGTGCTAAACTCTTTTAGGCTTCATAATTTACTTTGTATATCTGATTACCTCCCTCTCAATCACATCCTTCCTCACTTACCAGGGAGGTTCCACCTCTGGCCCAACTCCCCATGTGCCTTACAAGTTTTTACTAACTCTTCATTGTTGGGAAACTCATTCAAAGCCGTGTAAGTAAATTCCTACAAGCTGTTTTGCATTGTCACTGAAGACTCCTTGTCATTCTTGCAAGCTCCTGCCCCATCTAGTTCCTTGTGAGCTCCTCCAATCCTGATGAGCACCAACCTCATACTGTACACGGATCCCTTCCAAGTCTCAGTCTACCCAATACTTGCTTACTTTTTATGAGCCTCTTCTCACCTGACAAACGTTTACCGGCCTGCTCATTAAACTGCCCAACCTCCTGCACACAGTGCAAGCCTCCTGTATAGTCACAACTCCCCACTGGCTGGCTTCTAACCATGGGGCACTGTGCACTCCCTCAGAAACTGCCACTCACATGTAAGCAGGCCTGAATTCATAAGCTCAACAAGTCTAATTCAAACTGAGCAGAAAGCAGACATATGCCTGGAAGGTCCTAACTTCTGAGGATTTCCATGTGGAAAGTAGGGATGTAAGCGAGTAGTTGTCTAGTCAATTATCTGAAAAGCCTGGGCTTGTTGGGTAGTCTGCTACTCGCATTACCCCCACCCTTGCAATAGGCAACAAATGGGGAGGGGGAAAGGTACAGGAGCTGGTGCTGGGCAAACAGGCTTTAAAGCCAGCTCCACTCAGCACCGTCTCCGCTGTATTGCCTTCCCGCTCCCCACTCCGTCTATCAGAGGCAGAAGCGCAGGGGACGGAGGAGAGGGAGAGGAAAAGGGAGGCTTCTGCAGAGCAGGCTCTGCCCATGGTGGGCTCAGGCTTGACACAGGTAGAGGCTGGTCGGGAAGGAGCCCCTGTCCCTCTGGGATCCCCCATAGACAGGGCCCCTGGTGCCATGAAGCAGCTGCTATCCTCAGAGGCCAGGGCTGGCTGTGGGAAGAGGTTGATCTGGCAGCAGCCCCTGTCCATTGGGCGTCCGAGCTCCCCACTGGGACACTCAGCAGGCTGAGACTGCTGGATCCAGCATGCACAGCTCAGTCCCGGCTCACACTGGCACCAGGAGCAAACCCTGCTGCTGCTCTGCTGTTTAAATGTATAGAAGCCCACCCGGCTCTTACTACAAATCAACTGCAGAGCTGCTGAGTGGGCTTAGCTCCCGGACCTGGTGCAAGCCAGGACTAAACGCCTTCCTCCGTCGATTAATCACGTGGTTGATAAAAATTCTAAGGAGTACGTGATTCGTTAAATACCCACCCATGGAAAGGAATCCACAACTGGGACCCTCACCTTCTGCACACGACAGAGGGAAAAGGAGCATGACCAGAGGTGTCCCCGTGCTCTGGTGATCCTGGATAGCAGGTGTCTGGAACTGCACATGGGACAGCTAGGAGTTGGTGCAATTCAGAACAGTTAGAATGGGCTCTTATTTAGGACAAGGGCTAGTGCGGCACCAGGAGAACCCTGAGGCCCTGGCAGTGCAGAAAGCTGCTGCCATGAGCTGTGCCAAACATTCCTCAGGCGCAGCTGAGGGGTGGGCAAGCCAGATAGCTGCCCTGAGCGCTAAACGATGAGGGCGCCTAATGGCAGCTGTAAGGGGCATGCGTCGTCCCTTATAGCTGCCATCAGATGCCGTTCACCCGGCTCCCACAAAGCTGCCCCCCC